GAAGTGCTGAGGAGGCAAATAAGAAAGAGAAAGCCAGTCCCTGCTCTCAAGGAGCTTACAATCTAATGGGGGAAGGCAATGCACAAAAAGATGGAAAGAAAAACTGGGGGTGATGTAGATGGAGTTGAGAGTTCAGCTGATGGGAAATGAAGAGTTATCTGGGCCTCTGAGGTCTCTTTAAATGGAGACTTTAGGAGGAATATTTTGCCCTGCCCTCCAGTCCTTTGATCAGAGGGGCAGAGGTGGGCAAGAATGATTCTCCATGGTTGCTTATTTGGTGTGCTTCAGACCATCATTACTGCCTTATTGTCTAATAAACTGCCCAATGGAGATTTGCCCACCCTGCTTTGCGGTGATGTTTCTTTCCTATCTATAGCAATATAGCCTAGTGATAGTGAAAACTGTAGGGTCCAGAGACTCTCTTCCTCTGCCCTCTATCATATTTCTTCTAGTTGTATGACTTTGTGGAAGTTTTGCCCAGTTGGAACCCTTGTCCAAACAACCTTTGGGATGAGATAGGGAAGGGTGTGGTGATTATGGGGCAGTGCCCAATACCTGGCACATACTTACATCATTAGCACAAACAGGATCAGACATAAGTGGATAGCTTCTCCCTAAGCCACCTTGAAATTGTCTCAAGGAGTAAGAAGTCTTTACTGGCTCTGGGTAGGGGAGGATGAGTGCTTAATGCAGGATCATACCCATTGTAAGTATCCAGATGTTCTTTGTTAATGATGATAAGAGAAGAATGGTTGAAGGTAGGGTTTCTTAACCTGTGGATTGTGATGAATTTCAAGAGGTCTGTGAACTTGGATGGGGAAAAAAAATGACATCTTTATTTCACTGACTGGTTTCTTTCATAATCTTCTGTATTTGTACATTTTAAAATATTATGTATTTAAATTTTTAAATTTAAATTTAAAAATATTATTCTAAAAAGGTATACATAGGCACCACCAGGCTGCCAATGGGGTTCATGACACAAAAATGGTGAGGAGCTCCTAGTTTAAAGGGAGACACCCTAAGTTACTTGTTCCTGACATGTTTTGGGAATTTATAAGAACATAAACAAAAACTCATAAACTAACAAGATCATAGATTAGAGTTGGAAGGAACTTAAAAAGTCTTCTAGTTCTTTGAAGATGAAGTGTCACACAGGAAGCTGTGATTCATAAACAGAACTGTGATTTACACCTGGGTTTTGACCCCAAACCCAATATCCTTTTCACTCTACCATGCTGTCACTGATGACTCTTATGATATCTGAGATGGAAGGGACCTCTGGTATCATCTAATCCAGTCCCCCTTCTTCTAAAGATGAGGAAACTAAGGCATGTAGAGTTAAGTGACCCGCCCAAGGTCACATAGATAGGGGAGCTGGAGCTCGAACCCAGGTCCCTTGACCACTAGTTCCTGTTCTTCACATTGTACCACACATCTGCTCCTATGTGAACCCAGAAGATGGCTTTGAAGTCCTGTAAACTCTGTTAGGGCAGAAGCAATGTCACAGTTGTTTTGTCTAGCCTGCAATTATTGCACAGAGAGAAACTACCTCATAAATGTTTGTTAAATTGAGTTGAGGAGTTACTGAAGGTCCACAGATGTGTCCATTACTGGTAGGGATATTGAACGAACAAGAAAGTCGTTTTTGTGGGCCAGTGGTATAGGGAGTTAGAGTTTAGAAATAGCATCCTTCTACAGGGAGTCCTTGGGTGATGGAGGGCAGCAACTGAACATCATCGTGGGCTGCATTTGCAAAGGTCAGGCTTTACTTACATGCACAGTTAAATGGAAATACTATGTAGAGGTCGTAGTCATATTTCTTTTGCCTTCATTAATGTTATTGCTGCGCTACTTTCTCCCTGGGTTTGTAATCGAAAGTTCCTTTAGTATATTATAAAATAGTATTTATTTTTAATTGTTTTTTTTTCCTCCTGGAAGAAGTTGGTTTTTTTTAAAGAACAGGTTTTTTAAACTTCACATAGACATTTCATGCTAATTTATTTTAAACCCCCCAACTTTCATAGTCTTATCTACTAATTCTTTTGATTAAAACACAAGCAAAAATCATCCAACGTGAACAGGTTGAATACCACATCTGTGCAGAAGATAGCTGCACACTCATTTATGACTCAAAGAAATGGAGTCTAAATCAAGCTAGCTATTGCTGTAGAGTGGAAAAGCGGCCATTATGAATTATCCTTAATTATAGTGATTTCCTAAACTAATAAACCTGCTAAATCTTTATTGCAAAGGTTAGTTTACGCAGTGCATATAAAATCCGCATGTGCTCCGCATCAGCCACCAGCTGTCTGACAGTGTGTTGCTATTGCAGTGAGTGTTCACATAAATTTTATGTTGGTTATATTAACAGTCAGTCCATATCACTACCCACAGATGCCAGTAGACATAAAAATTGCTCTCTAGTGAGCCTAAATATCCCTAGAAGCTAGTTGTGTCTAATGTTCCATGTAGTATTTGTACGTGAAAGCACCAGATTGAAGAGTTATTTACAGATGAATATTTCAATCCAGTTAGTTCATATTGGCCTACTTAGCCTTCTTTGCTGGTTTATTTGTATGCTAAATAATTCACCAAAGGTTCTTGTTTACTTTCAATAGTAGTTTCTATGAAATGCAAACAAGGGAGCCAACTTTAGGTGTTCAAAAGGCTAAACAGCTCTATGTTTAAATGCAGGTCAGAACTGCAAATGCAGTCTCGCAGATGGGCTGTCACTCAGTTTTACACATTTTGCCTTTTTTCCCCCTTCCCTTTCCTTCAGCTGTAACTGGGGCTTGCTGCTTTCATAGGAATTTTTGGCAAGACCAGAATATTTTTATTCTAAATTTATCTTTCCCATACACGGCTATAGGCTGCCTTCAGCTTTCACAATTAGCTGCACCACCCTGGCAGCCCAGATCACGTCTCGTGCTTTAGAGATGATTCCCGACAATCCTTTGGGCTGACGGTAGGGCCAGTCCAGTCCCTTCCTCTTTAAATACACTTGTCCTTTCCCCCTTCATACCTCCCTGTTATTTTTGCTGATGAATTTCCCTAACTTATGATTTGCATGGATAGTGAATAAGGATCCCCCACCCCCCATTGAAGCATAGGCTCTTTGGGAACCCCTGGACCAGTCCAGTCAGTACTACAAAGGAAAAGGAGCAGGAACCAGGTTGTTTTAATGAATCCCGGGGGATTATACTCACCCAGAAGTGGGAGCAGAGCCTATTTTTCTGAGAGTTGACAGGCACATGGATATATTGTTGAACAGGTCGGCTACGCGTTGTTGCCCAGTTTATATGTGAAAATACCCAGGTGTACCCACATTTTGCACCTGGCTGCTATCTAAAACATTTGCCCCTGAAGGGATTAGAAAATAGCCTCTTTCATTTTCAACCTCGATCTGCCAGGATCATAAGAGAGTTCAATAGCAGCGCTAACTTTTTGTTTAATAACATTGATTTTATCATTTTTACTACTTACAATGGGGATTGGTCGGCTGATGCTTATTTGACCTCCCTTTGTGCACAGCCATAGAGTGCTCCGTTATAGCTATTGACAGATCTCTCTTTTCCCACTTCTCTACCAGCAGCCCATTTCACCAAATAATATTGAGATGCAGTAACTGTTCCCTGTTATTGATTTCAGATTGTATTCATCACACCCTTCCCAGGACCAGTCAAGCAGCGGCAACAGTAGCCCCAGCAGTACTGTAAACTCTTGATTGCTGCAGGCAAAAGTATCATTTCCACCTTCAGAGAAGGAATATCAGCCATGTATATTTCCTTAAAAATTGCCCTGGATAATGGATGCCTTTTTGATCTAGATTTTTCGACATATATAATTAAACTGATCCCCTTGGCTTAATGTTGGGTTCCTAGTGTATTTTTTTTTAAGCATGTTCAAAGATACTTGAGCAAATGACCTCAGAACTTGATATAGAGACATTGATTACCTTTTAAGCTTCAGGGACTTCAAGTTTAGTACACACCCCACCCGCTCTGAGCCTCACAGACTCTGTTTTTAATTCAGCCAGGATCCAGGCCCACAGACCTTTCCCTTGAAAAGTTCGACATTTTGCCACTGTAGAATTACTTAACATGATAAGTTATTTTTAAGACACCTGGTGATTTTGTGGGCAGTGACTTTCAGAATAGTCTATGTGACCTTGGGCAAGTCATTGCCCAATCTAGATCTCAATTTCTTTGCTTCTACAATAATGGATTGGACAAGATGATCTTTTTAGGTCCCTTCCAACACCAGTTCCTGTGATTACAGCCATCCTAAACAAAGGGATTTTGGCCAGTCTGTATATGTGGTTCAGGGAATCTTAGAGGGAGGGAAGTGAGAATACTAAATTTAGGGAAAATAACCAGTTTTTCATAAAGGCCTCAAAAGAAAACATCCCACCATACATTGAATGAGAAGCCAGAGGAAAACTCATGATGTTTTCTAATTTAAAAAAAAAAAAAAAAGATAGCAGAGGCACATGGAGAGTTTAATGGCCAAGCTTATAGGAAAGAAACATGGTCTGTAAAAGTGAATGAGTAATCAGGTTTCAAATTTGTTGATTCTCCATACTAGATCCTGCCCTTTCTTTGGTAAGGCTGTATACAGTTACTCAAGTGAGCTATGTACAGAGGCCAACCAGGCCCATAATCCTCTTAGCACAATGTTAGAGCCACCCCAAAGCGGAATGCACTGGTTGGAGGTAGTTGGCTCACTAGAGGTCTTCTAGTGAAGGCTAGATGATGCCTTGTAAAGGAACTTCCTATACAGGTCCTAGTTGGGCTAGATGACCTCTGGGGTCTCTCCCAACATGGGGATTCTGGAATTCTTTGATTCCTACCCACTCCCACAATGGAAAGCTCCAACAGAGATCTTTTGAGTACACTGACTTGGTCAAAGATTTAGAGCTGCAGTCATTCAAAGCTTGCAGTTCTAAGGGTCAGAAATAGTTTGTGATTCTGTAGCTGATGCTGAATTCTTCACTGCAGGTGGCCATCTTCTGGACTGAAAGACAGCACACAGAACGCAGCTAAATTAGAAAGACTTTACACAGTTACCAGAACTGGCTTAATGAGAGACAGTGAACATTTTGCAGGCTACTGAACTTCTGAAATATGACAATCGGAGCAAATGAAATCATGGTATCTTTCATTGTAGTTTAATTGGACTCAAACTGGCAATAGGAGCCGTTGAAAGCTCTATTCAAGGGAGATGGACAAGAATCCTGCAACAGCTAATCCACCTCTGCACAACACATCTTAAAACTGCCTGAGCACTGCCTAACGATTCCATGCTGCTCTCAGGACCAGCTCTCATCGGTTGAGAGAGAAAGAGGTGCTGTGAATAAAGAAGAGATTACAAGGCAGGCCAGATTCCAGCATTATGAATGGCACACCTGTCACCCCTGGTTATGCACTGCCTCATGGCAGCTTGTACAGGCCAATTTATTAAAGAGCCAAGAAAAGTGAAACAAACTGAGCCCCTTCTTCCTCTGCCTGAGAGTGTCAAGACATCATTGTCAAGGAGCCCTGTTAACCGAAGAGTGGGATGAGCTGAGCATAAACACTAACAAGGGAAGAACTAAACACCACCCCCAACTCGGCTGAGTGAAGTTAAATGGGGATCTCAGCTGAATAACCCCAAAAGCAGAAAATGGTGATGGCTGTCAGGTGACCACGGTGCCTGTCAGGCAACAATCCAGAGGCTAGAAACAATGATGGAAGAATCAACATTAAAGGGAGATTTGGAGGCATCTAGTAAATCTGCTGCAGGTGGAGGAAGAGCTATTACTTTAAGAAATGAATCACCCTGGGGCACACAAATCTGTAGGCAGAAGGCACTTTAAAGTACTCGGAGAGGCACATCTCATTCTCCTTTCTTTGTTACCGTTCCACTTGAGAAGTTCTCTGAGTTGGAATTGCTTACTTTTTCTATCCCTCCCTGTTCTGTTAGCATCTTAGATGCCAGGCTAAAAGTCAGCCTTGACCACTTGGGTCTGTGTTTGCTAGTATTATGATGCTTTAGTTTTAGCTGGTAATACTCGGAAGATGTACAAATTGGGTACACACATGTAACAGGCCATCTCAGCCATTGATTTTTGAAGGTTCATTAGATAAATGCTGACATCACAGATTGATGTCTCTTTAAACCAGTACCTAGTGCAAGAGCATCAGGGGAATCAAAAATATTGACTTAACATGTTTGTGCAGAAGGCCCACTGGAGAATTCCCTTGCATTAATGGGATCCATCAATTTAGGTGTTCTTTAATTATTCTAATTCTGCACTTCACAGTTGGAAAAGGGACTTGTCATCTGAGTCGTTTGCATTGGGGGGTGGGGGTAGAATGCTGCCCCTACTTTGGGAAATGAAGACTAGATGCAGACATGTGTCTATTTTTCATCACTGCATTTTGACCTGCTGTTCAGTAATTAAAAATTTTTGATTATAGACTAATTTTCCCATAGAGTGCAGTGATGGAATTGACAGGGGGCTGATTAATGGGCAGACTCTAGGGCCATGAGACTGCTTGGTTGCTTTTGAGTAGGAGGCATACTGGCAAAATAAAGTTGATGGTTTTGTTTGTGTTTAACCCTTCACCTTGGCACTATCAATAGATTGAAGACATCATTTGTATCTGCAAGTGTTTCTTTAATTAAGACCTCCTAAAAATCTTTCCTATTGATTCATTCCATTATCCTATTGACTAACTGCAGTAGATCATGTATTTGCTGTTAGTGGAAGGCAACAGTTTCATCCATCTGTCACTACCCATGGATGTCAACTATAAGCAGCATCCAGTGCCCAGGTCTGCCACTAGCTTCGGCTCCTTATCCTTGATGGGAATTAGTTTTCTCCTGCAAGGGGGGTGGCCAAGCCTAAAGCTCACCTTCCAGTTAACCACACAGCAGTAGCTTTTCAGTGGGGAATTGGCCATGGGCAATCTTGAGAGAACAATCATACTTTGCATTTGGATGTGGAAACTTAGAGCTCCCACATAGAAGCAAGCCCATGAGCCCATGTGAGAAGATATGATTCAGGGCCTTTTTCGGTTTCCTGATGTCCAGAACTGTGCCCTGCACTTTCAGCCACCTTTTTTTCTCTTCCTTTTTTAAGAATTTTATTTATTTGTTTTTAGTTTTCAACATTCACTTCTATAAGATTTTGAGTGTTAAATTTTCTCCCCTTCCCTCCGCTCCCCCATTCCTAAGATGGCATGCAATAATCTGAAATAGGCTATACATGTGCACTCATATTAAACATATTTCCACATTGGTCAAACTGTAAAAAAAGAATTAGAACCAAAGGGAAAACCATGAGAAAGAAGAAAAAAAAAAGAAAGAAAAAAAAGGAAAAGAGAGAGAAAATAGTGCTTCAATCTGCATTCAGAACCCATAGAAGAAACAGCAGAAAGCTCTTTCCTGGATGCATTTTTTGAGTTGGGAAGAAGTTTGAAGGAACTGAATGAATGAAAAAGCACATTTTAAATAAACACTTAACTATTTGCAAAGCATTGAGAATATAAGTAGAAAAATGAGATAATCCCGGCTCTCAAGGAGCTCATATTCTAATGATGGGAAATGATATATACATACATACATACATACATACATATACGTATATGATTTGTAGCTAATGATGGAAAATTACACATGTACATATATATGGCTTGTAGCTAACTTCATATGTATATGCCATATGTGTATATACATACATATACATACAAACACATTTTATATGTATATGTATGTATGTCTATGTAGACTGGGGTGGGGTGGGTGTGTGGGTGTGAAATTAGCTTCAAATTAGATGGATAGGCCCAATGGTTATTAGGGTACAATGGCAAAGCAGATAGTAATGCACCTTCTTTAGTGTAAGTTCCATTGATAGAACCATATCTGTTTCTGATATTGAGCCATCTGATGGTGCCAACGACTTTGGTGATGAGAACTTTCTTTCCTAGGTAGCTATGGCTACTTTAGTAGCCCTGGCTGCTGAGGAAATTGGGGAGTCAGGGAGGGTTTGCTGTACCTCCAGATGTAGTAAGCCAGTGGTCAGTCAGAGTGGGAGAGTGGAAGGTAATACTTTCCCAGAGCTCTTGGGCACAGGATGCCAGGCTGTCTCCACCTGGGTCTGAGAGTGGGTAGTGGTCAAGGTAGTGATGTTAGCTTGACCTTTCTGGTACATGCTATCCCCTGTCTGGCTCCCAGGACTCCTTGGTACTCCAGCCAAGCTAACTTGACTGTCCGATTCATGCTCAATAGTCTACAGGAAGTATTGGTGGTGGCAGAGGTGATGAGCCCCTTCTCCACAAGGTTTACTTGTAGAGATTAGTACTTAATGATGCGTTTGTGAAGAAGTAGCTTCTTTCTTTGCCCTATTGGTCCCCACAGGAGCAGACTGCAGTTGATACCTTCCTCCATGGTGGGTGTGCCTTCTTTCCCAGATGGATTTAAGGAAAGAAGGAATTGAGGAAACTGTAATGATAAGAAGTAGAATTAGGTTGAGGCGGAGAAATACTCCTATTGTCCTCCTCCCCTACCCCTAACCCCACCCTCACCCCACAATGTTCAGGCATTGGACTGGCAAACCAGATTAATTTTCACTATCAGAGTGGAAAATCATAAGACTTTATACATTCTTGATTGAAATGTTCCACAAAAGAAAGGTCATAATAGTCTTCATTGGCACTTAGAGTTCTTGCCTGAGATTTCCAGGAGACTGTACAAAATGTGTGTGGTCCCTGAATAAATGCCAATGGCTCTTTTGTTGTCATTGAGAGAGGAAGTCTCAGAAATTCCTCTATGTGCAGAGAAAATACTCTCCTTTTTGACATTTGTATTTAAAATAAGAACCTCACCAGTTAAAGTAGTTTAGAATTAAAATCCAGTGCAGACTCTGTGTTAAGTTCCTATTTCAGCTGTAGGGCATTTTGAAACTATGCCAAGTCAAATGCTCAACTTTACCTTGGCACCAAATATCATGTTGTTGGGTGCCCTATATCACATTCAGTGAGAGCCCAAAAAGGGCCCAAAAGACAAATAGCTATTTTTCTTATCATTTTTCAGACCAGGGCCTGACCACCCTAACTTCCTTTATAAACCTCTAATATGCCTTCCACCACATTTGATCACATATCCCCAGTGAATATTCCCTCAACTCTTATCATAAACAAGAGGGGCCAATGTAGAGTTTACTACATCATCTTTAAGCCTAGATATCAGAAAATATGGAGAGCAGTGTTATACATAATGAATTTTTGTGATGGCGTTTTTTTAATGCCCACATTAAATCATTGTTTGATTACTTGCTTATTTCTTTGCAAGTTTATTAATATATTTTTACTTTAAAATAATTGGTTAACTTACCTTTGATAAAAAAAGATATATGAAAAAATCTGACAATGTCAGTCCAACTAAGTTAACTCTCCCCTGACACTATCAGCATTTTATTACAATTGTCAAAAAAAAACCCACCAAACACCAACAATTTTATTGTTTTGATTATTGAGATCCAGCCACAGATCAACTGAGCAATTAAAATGTCCAAATAACATTCCTTGAATTGTCAAACAAAGGAGGAGTTCCCAATGGAAAGGATTTTTTGAAGAGAGAAGCTCTCTCTGTAACTGCTATGCCAGTAAATGGTTGCACTAATTGGAATATACAGAAATATTTTACCAGTTTAACAATGCATGACACCCTAATAAGATTGCGATGACAAGCTTTTCTTTATATGCAAGGTGATGTTACTGCATGCTTAGAATATACATGGGCTCATATGTCTTTTTGTGACAGGAGTTATAAATGAATTTTTAGAAGGAATTAAATAATGTCTGCTTGACTAAACTCTTTCAAGTAGATGAAATTATAGTCTAGAAAATGAAAAAAAAACAAACAAAAACAAACCTTGCGTTCCTGTTATTTACTGGAGTTAGAGCAATATGTTAGTAGGGAACCTTAGACTTGAATGGGAAAAAAAAAAGGATAAATCCTATTTGCATATGAAATGCCTTGCCAATAACTTCTCTGAGGCAATTCTTCAGTTCCCCACCCCACCCCCCTCTTGCAAAAGGTAGAAGGGAGGAGTGCAGGCCTAGAACTGTTAATGATAATTTTCCAAGTCACAGAGGACTTCACATCAATATACCTCCCCTGCTAATCTATATACTCTGGAGGTGGCGAGCTCTGGCAGTGTTTTGATGGTTTTATGAAGGCTTGTGTATATTTACAATGTATTTAAAATATTCCTTTTAATTATCATTTGAGTGACAATGCTTAATCTTTAGATCTTTATCAGCACCCCCTGGTGATGTATGTTTGTTAAATTACTGAAGAGGGGAAATTTAGTGGAGCCAGAACTTTATGCTGGTAATGAGGCTGAGGAGTAGATGATTATCCTGCTTAACTCCACTTTATAGGGATAAGGGAGACCTTTTTTTTAAATCCTTCAAGGTGTCTTTGATAGCCCCTGCTTTCTTCAAGGGAAAGCTTGAAAAATGGTAAAAGAGTAGGAATTAGCCAGGAATTGGGACCAAATAAATGCCTCAGTAGAAGTGTGTACAAGGGATCATTTTGCATTTTGAGTACTGTGATCTTAGACCTCCTGATATTCATATTCTCAATATCTCTCTCTCCCTCTCCCTCTCTCTCCCCCCGCCCCCACTCTCCCTTCTCTCTCTCTCTCTCCCCTCCCTTCCCTCCCCGCCTCCAAATTGTATCTCCACTGAGGTTGATGCCTTATTATGGAAGTGACTGCAACCTCTCAGCTGGTAATACCAACAGAGCGCTAGCTCTCAAAAGTTCAGCTGCAGTGGAAAGCCTCCAAGTACAGGCCTAGGAATGTGGCACAGGTGTGCTGCAGTTACCTGAGAGAGCTCAGCTGAGATCCAACAGGTTCTTCATGAGGTTGACTCTCTGGGTGGTGATTTTTATTGGCCACAGTAACTCTGGAGGACTTTCTACTAAATTTCTTGAAGGGTCATGGTCAGCATCAATTGTCGGTTCACCTGCATCCTGATCTGTGACTTAGTACCCAAACATTGTATGAAATTACAGAACCTAGGGCCAGCTGGATGGTGCAGCAGCTAAAGCACCGGGAATCTCTGGTGTCTGGAAGACCTGAGTTCAAACACA